TGGCGTAAAAAGTGGCGTACGCAAGTTTCTGGGCTCAAATTGTGCGTACGCCAGTTTTATAAATCTGACTCCTGGACAGGAGACCATCTGCCTCGACCGGCTGGTTGAGGGACAGGAAAGAGACACAGACAAACACAGAAGAACTGGTCCAGGTGCACCTACTTCTGGAAAAGAGATAAAAAGAAAAAACAATATAGATGGAAATAATTACAATAAACATGTAGAGAAGAGAGACTAAAGACAACAGCAGAGTGAGGAAATGTGCTCAGTTTGTGCTCCAGCAGTCTAAGTCTATAGCAGCAGAAATGAAGAATAAGTATCTAAGAATAAGTATAATAAGTAATTAGTGTAGTGTCGGTACGGTCAGTGTTGGAACGGTTCAGTTCGGGTGCTTTTCCATTGACGTTCCAGTCCAGTTCCAGTAGGTGAGTTTTGGGCAGTTGGTGGAGGTGTTTTTTGGGGTTTTCGAAAAAAGTTACAGCGCAAAATGGGGGATAGAAACACATTTGCCGAATAAGTTATAAATTTTGAAAATTTGCTAAAGATTAAAATTAAAATTGGATGGAAACGCGACTAATGTCGCTGCTACAAGTCAAAAAATGGCTCCTTGAGTTGTTGTAAAGGCAACTTAGACGCAACCAGTGACTCCACCCCCTAGCCAATCAGTGATGAACAGTGTTCTGATGTCACATTTTGGTGTCGACTGGGACTGCTTGGAACCACAACGAAGTAGGTACTAAAAATGGCTGGTTCCAAGTATCTGCCCTAATGGAAATGGCTTGGAACCATTCCGAACTGTACCGACACTACACAAGGAGTCTCCAACGTGTCTTGAACCATTCACTGCTGCTTCAGTCTTTTCATAAACCCCACAGAGATGGACGAAAGGAGTCTCAGGCCTCACTGGAACGCTTTTAAAAAACGCTTTTGTGTCTGACCAAAGAGGTAACAGATTCTAGGACCCTGGTTTTAAAGGAACCCTGAGACGATCAGACATTTTAAATGTCATGTTTGACCCAGCAGAGCGTTATCAGCTGGTGTGATGCAGTCACTCAGTGTGGTTTGTGGCTTGTTTGCAGGTTTTTGTTTTGCTTTTGTGTTTCCATTTTCATTGACTCAGTCTGTCCTGAACATGAGTTGAGTATCGTCCTAAATGTGTTTGCTTCAGACCGACTGGTGTCTCTACTTTTAACAGAAAAATTACAGTTTTTTATTGTTTTTTTTACATTTCTTTCTTTTTAAATGCATCCTTGTTTTTTTTTTCTTGCTTTATAAGTTCCTTTATTTAAATTTTAAAAACAAGTGTGTAAATAATGTTTTTGCCCTAAAAGTTGAATTCAGAAAGACACCTGATTGGAATGACAGTAAAGAGTTGATTCAGCAGGCCGCAGGGGTTAACGTGTATTTCTCCTGCGGTCAGCATGAGGCCAGCCCTGACCAACACCACAGTGAGCTGTTTGCACTTTGAATGCCTGTATCTGAAAAACTTCTCTGCTCCTTGTTTTCCTCCTCAAGCCTCCATTGTGACTGTCATTCGACTGGTTAATGATGCAGTCGACACAATCGAGAGTGAAGGTACCATGTCTCATTTTCTTTGTCACGTCTTCTTCATTCAATGAGTTGTTTCTTTTTTGTTGAGATTTACACTTTTTAGGGATCAGAGAACCAAAACCCCAAATGATCATCAGAACTCTTTGCTCTGCTTGACTTTGTTGGATGTAGTGCAGTGATGCCTGCAGATGTTGATCTGATCCTCAAACCCTTCCTGCACCCTGTGTTGGAGGAAACACGATCAGATCAGGACGAAACATTAGACAGATCAAAGAGGCTGGTCAGATTCTTCACGAGTTGTGGAGTTGTTATCAACAATCAGTATGTTAACTGCAGTAGACAAAGACCAGAGTCTCTCAGTTTGGAGGATAAGAAGGAAGTGATATTAGAAAATATTGTGTTATTAATATAGAACACTATAAACCAACCTGTTCTGGTATCCAGGCTGGTCCACAGAGGAGCTCAGGTCTTTAGTTGTCCTGAGGTCCAGGCTGGTCCACAGAGGGGCTCAGATCTTTAGTTGTCCTGAGGTCCAGACTGGTCCACAGAGGGGCTCAGGTCTTTAGTTGTCCTGAGGTCCAGGCTGGTCCACAGAGGGGCTCAGGTCTTTAGTTGTCCTGAGGTCCAGACTGGTCCACAGAGGGGCTCAGGTCTTTAGTTGTCCTGAGGTCCAGGCTGGTTCACAGAGGGGCTCAGGTCTTTAGTTGTCCTGAGGTCCAGACTGGTCCACAGAGGGGGACAGGGCTTTAGTGGTCCTGAGGTCCATTCTGGTCCACAGAGGGGCTCAGGGCTTTAGTAGTCCTGAGGTCCAGGCTGGTCCACAGAGGGGCTCAGGTCTTTAGTTGTCCTGAGGTC